TTGTTGTGAATTTTGGTTCTGTTGAAAATAATTTGGGGGATTAAAATAGTTTTGTTGGGGTCTAATAAATTGATTATTGGGTCTTGTTTGAGGTTCGAAAAATTGTTGTTTGGGGTAATTTTGAAAATTATTTTGTGTATGGAAAGTAGGTCTAAATGGTGGATTATGTGTTTGCATCGGATATTGTCGGTTCTGAGGGTTAAATTGAGGTTTTGAATTATTTTTGTGTGTGTTTGGATTAGAACTTTGTTGTCTGTAGTGTTTGTCGGCGTAATTAAAATTTTCCTCTTCCAAAACCAAGCTCATGGCTTTTTCCAAGTGTTCGGGTTTTTGGAGGCGAATGGACATACCTAATTGTCCGGGTAGGCCGTGTAAATAAGTTTGTAAAGCGAGATTGTCGTAGATAGCATTTTTGCATGTACGTGCATTTTCGTCGTCTATAGTAAGTCTTAATTTAGTTTGTAACAAACTACGGCAATCTTGTATACGCATACCGAATTGATAAGGGGTTTCTCGCGGTTCGGGTTTCAGAGACATAAGGTCTCGGACTAGGCAATCTTCATTTCTTTGATCAGAGAAGTATTGCAAAAGGAATTTTTTAATATTGTTCCAACTATTTGCGTCTTCGCGGCTGCTAATAAGGGTTTTAGCCCTACCTTCTAATTTAGACACAATCAAACGCAAAATCCATTCATTTTTTACGTCTCTTGGGTTTTCTTTATTGGTAAAAGTATCTATAAAGCTTTCGCTGGCAGAAATAAATAAAGCTAAGGTGGATTGATCACCGTTAAATACGGGGATCGCGTTAATATGAAAATTTTTTGGTTCAGTCATCGTTAGAGAATTATTTATGTTAATTTCTACGTTCGATTCTAAATTTAATTGTTTTCTGATAGGACTTCTATCACGAAAGGGTTGCTGTGTATAATTTAAATTTAAATTACCTAAATTTTTAAACAAATCTTCCAATTCTGAATCACTGGTCATTAAAATTGTATAGGAAAATTATAAGGAATGAGAAATTACTTACAGCAATATCGTTTTGTTCATATGGCTTTCTTTTGCAACAAGTGGTGGAAAGTTTCGGCGATTTTGGTCCTCTGCTTCCCTCTTAAACTAGGTTGTCGAAGTTTCGGCGATTTTGTCCTCTGCTTCCCGTCGTGTCACTGAATGTTCGTTCGATACGCTCACTCACTGAATGTCTTTATTTTTAAAAGTTCAAAACGGGCTGAATATTGATATATACCGTTTTCACTAAAATTTCGAAAAGTTCCAGAAATTTTCACAGAAAAACGTCCCGTTTATCCTACCGACTGCGCCAATTAAATAACTTGATTTGTTAAATAACTTTTTAAAAAATTTTATTTTTAAATTTAATTTAAAAATTACAAATAACAAGCTTACGAGACTAGTTTACACAAGGCTAAGTAAATCTAGAATGAATATAAAACAAAGCAAAATTATGTTCTTTGAAAAACACATGTCAGCAGATAAGATTATATTATTAATAGGTCAGCAACTTCGCAGGATGTAACTCACGTAACAATGTAATTTAGTAGTTGAGTTTATGAGAACTGCTTTTACGAGACCTTATAAAAAATATGTATAAGTTTTTTCTTGCTTTTGAAAAACTGCAAGGGCTGCTGGGGCGTTTTAAACACAATTTTTATTGTTTTGGAGACAGTTTTCATTGCCAAAAAAATGGCGCACCAACGGGAGTTATTTTAAGTTAAAAAATTACACCTGTCAATCTTAGCTGCCCTATTTATATTATTTCCATGGCAACTGTGTTTTATAATAAAACTTTTATTTAAGCTTATTAATTGTCAAGTTTTTAAAACTTAAATCTGGATCTGTACCCTACTTTTTTAAAATTACGTTACAAATTTATGCCTACGTTTTTTCGCTCTTTCCAATACAATACAGTATTAAATCTATAAATCCTGTAAGTTATGGCTTACTTTTATACATCAAAAAAATAAGTAATCTAGGACTTAAGTCTGCTTATTATTAAAAAGTACGAACAAATTTATAAATAGGCCGGAAATGTGTAACGTGATTTTAAAATGGTGAAATTAAAATAGTTTGGCTCTGGGGTACAGATATGCTTAATAACTTAAAAACTAGGTACATGTCAGAACTTGTTTGACGTTAGTTCGTAATTTTCGGGTTTACCATTTTTAATGAAGGTACATAAAATATATTTTTATATTGCAATAAAATTCGCTAAAAATCTACTTTTGGGATTATGGGACTAAACGAATTTCCTGTTAGCAGATTTTTGTTAGACAAACAAAAACTAGATAAAGGCTGCAAACTAAATTAAACATGGATTAAGCTTTTTCAGCGCTTAAAAATCCTTTAAAACATTAAATAAAAAAATAAAGTGATATTAATATCTCATGGCGGTTGACCTTGAAAGACGCTATAATATTATAACAAATATAATAGAATTTCTAGCCCAGAAATTCTTCTAAATATGTCAATAAATATCAGCATTGTTTACCCTATGTAGTATGTTTTTAGGTCGGCGAGTAATAGCGCGATTTGACGGATTTGAGACTTTTGCGCACCCAAGGTCATCCGCCATGAGATATTAATAGCACTCTACAGTGTAGTGTAGAGTCTACACTAAATGTCACAATAAAGTAGAATAAACAGTTTTATTGGATAAGTTAACAAATACTAAACCTAATTACACAGGTGTAAACATTAACAATAACCAGACCGGAGGTTTTTGAAGTGCTGAATCCGAATTTAACCAAATAATTAGGTACTCCATCACATCAGGTTTAAAAACAATTCACAAGGTGTTTTGTCTCCACAAAACTTGCTAATTGGATAGGAATGAGCGACGAAAACGCCATGGGCATATATGCGTCTGTCAAGCGGTTTTAACCTCACTTTTTACAAGTTTTACTTAAAGTTAACTTTAGTCCGTGTTTAATAGTGTTTAATAGGTATATTATTATAAGAGATAATGCGCATTATGTCGAATGTAACACTGCTTTTTCCACTCCAATTAAGTAAAAACTAAAGCCCGCTGCACAATAGCCCGGTAAGGGGAACGGGAATCTGAACAGTAAAGGTGGGAGAGACTAAGAAACCACTGTTGATAGTCTCTCCCACCTAAACCGTTTAGGTTCCCGTTCTCGTTACCGGGCTGTTGTGCAGCGGGCTTAAATTTATTATAACCTCACTTTCTTCTGATTTCAAAGGACATTATAGTCGCCCCTTGTTACAGGGTGAGTTGAAACTTTGAAATATCTCAGTTAGTATGCATTTTACGAAAAAATGTTTAAAATAAAAATTAAATAATTCGAGGGGGGAAATCAATCAGTACTAAAATTGGTCCTCATACTCTCCTCCTTATAGGGGGAATAGGGAGTAACTTTAAAATTTCTAATGGAACACCCTATTTTTTATTGCAGATTCGGATCATTCGACTAAAAATAGGTAGATTTTGTCTAAAACATTTTTTCATATTTGTAATAGATGGCGCTGTAATAAAAAATCAAATTTGTTCGATTTTTCTTCTGTATACGATTCTGCAATAATTTTTCTATAAAAATATCACTTTTTTTTGGTAATAATTATCTTATTAAATTAAATCTGATTGTTTTAAGAATCCACGATTTTTTAACTAATATTTAAGTTTCCTTTGGTTTAAGTTTTATACATTATTTCATTCGGTGATAATTATCAATTGCGCACCATGGTCACTTTTTGTCTACCAGCATTAAATCCTTTAATTTAAAGGATTACCTATTGTTCTATTTTTAATAAAAATACCTCATTTAAGGTAAAAAAACATTATTTTGCCAATTAATTAACGTAATCCTAATTGAGGTATAAAGAAACTATTTATACATAGTTTAGCATTATTTAATCAATTTAGTTCGAAGATTAATTTGCTGTTATTCATAATGAATTTTTTAATAGTGAAAGCGTTTTCCAGAAAAAAATCGATCACGTACTTTATTTCACCGTACAGTCAAGCAGTTAACTACAAACGGGAGTGTACAACCGAAAAAAAGAGTTCTTCGAGCAAATTATTGGAGAATCGTATGTATACAGAAGAAAATCCTAAACAAAAATCGCTGTTAAAAAGGTCTATTGATTTAATCGCTTATTTAAACGAAATTTATTCGACAATTCAAGGCTTTTGATTGGTTCATATTATATTGAGGGAAATAATCATTGAAATATAATATATTTCGGTTAAATAACTAAAATATGTCTGAAATAAATAAATTTACGCATATTGTTTAAATGAAATATGTCCAAAATATGTATTACAGTAATATTACTGTACGTTACCTCTGAGCCTGTTTTTTATTCAAATTAAATTTTTTTTAGTATTATTACCATTTTTTTATTTGAATAATAAAACGTGCTTGTCAAAACATCATTATTATTAAATATAGGGCTGTACAATTTAGCCGGCTAAAGATGTTAGCTAAGTTAATTAGCTAGCTAACTGATCAGCTTAGCTAATTTAAGCTATTTAATGATTTAATTAATTTAAAAGCCCTATTTATAAATAAAAATAGAATGTAAAATATTATTTAACCTAATAAATTAATTTATTATTGTTTGTCATAAAAGCACTATCAATATTTTTCTTAACTTATTTGTCCGTAAATAAGAAATTATTATATAGCTTTAAAAAAATTAGCCGGTTAGCCTTTAGCTAATTAGTTCAGCTAAGCTATATAGCTTAATATATATTAACCGGTTAAGCCGCCAGCTAATTAGCTAAGCTAATTTAGTTAACCGGTTAAATTAGCTAAGCTGATCAGTTAGCTAATTTTTTTAGCGGGTTAACCGGCTAAATTGTACAGCCCTATTAAATATCCATTTTTACAACAAAAAGATGTGAAAGTGAATAAAACTTTTAACAGTGAGTTTTTTAATGGAACTCTTAGCGACGCGTTGCGATGAAGTTAATTTAAAAATTTATAATTAAAAAAAAATAACAAGTTTTTCTTTTGTTTTAGACGATTATAATAGAGTAGTTCTGGAGGCCATAAAGGGAACAAGTGATTCAGATTACGTGAATGCCTCATATGTAGATGTAAGTATACTTAAAATTATAGAAGGGTAATTTTCTTTAAAACCAAACATGGTAAAATCATTATCATGTTAAGTAAAGTTTAATCATAAAATTGAAAAAGAAAAAACAAACGCACAAATTGAATTGTGGCACCCCAAAAATTACATTTAAGTTTGCGTCGCGTCGCGTCGTTTTGAATTTTTTGTTTGGCATTCTGTTGGCTTCGAAAATTAAAGTGAATGTAAAGTTTTTAATTGGATTTCGGTATTCGCGATGGACGACAGTTAAAATGTGTTATTTTTAAATGGTTACTATTTTTTGATCGTTTGTTTGTTTTTCAGAGTTTGTTGAAACCAAACGCGTACATTGTTACACAGGGTCCTACGGAAGAAACTGTCACGGATTTTTGGCGAATGGTTTGGCAGGAAAGGGCCAGTTGTATTGTGATGTTGACAAAGACGTTTGATTTTATAAGGGTAAGTTTACAACCTGTCCAAATACAGTTTTTTAATTTTTTAACTTTTACATTTTATCCTATTTAATTAAATTTTGGTAAATAGCATGGCCGGACGCAAGGGCATTTTTTGTAATCTAAAAAACTTTCTGATTCTAGGCAAAATGCCTATCGTCAATTTTGATAGGCCATTATTCTTAGTGCAAAATGTGTTTTGGACATTTTTAGTGCCTAAAGTGCATAAAGTTTTTTTATAAAAAACAGTTTTACTCCGGTTTGACCACCAACTACTTGTGTAAATTTTTTTATATAAATATATAAACGGAATTTCATATTATTTACTTAAGTCTCTTAAGTTTCGATCCCGGCTTTCTTTTTATATGTTCGCACCATTTTTTCAAGTCGCCTTTGAAATGAAAAAAAAATAAAAAATGATACGCCAGTAATAAGTATGATATGAAAATTTTGGGGTTAAAATATGAATGCCTAATAAATAACTGTTTAGGAAAATACGGCATTATTATAACCTTTTTAGAGGTATATGTATACATATACATATATGTATTTACGAGGTGTGTTCAGAAAATATCGGGAATTTTTTTGAAACAAATATTTATTTATTCTTCAACATTAATGGTGTCCCCATTGGATATTATGCACATGTGCCAGCTCTTCTTCCAATACTCGAAACACTTATAAAACTCGATCTTTGGGATAGCCTTTAGTTCTTTCAGCGATGTGCTTTTAATGACATCTATGCTTGCAAAACGACGGCCCTTTAAGGTTCTCTTTATTTTTGGGAATAGGAAAAAGTCAGACAGAGGCATGTTTGGCGAATATGGAGGCTGGGGCATCATTACAGTATTGTTTTTGTCCAAAAATGTTGTTCAAAATTTAACAATTTTAAAACAAATTTTGCTGCCACGCGTTTCATACCCAAAACATTCGAAAAAATTTCATGCCCTGGCGAAAATGAAATGTGCAAAAAGTGTGCAAAATTATTTGAGAACAATGTGCAGAGGGTGGGAAATGGAACATGAAACAATGTGCAAAACCAAAAATTTACCATTTATCACGCTTATATTACACCTTTTTATAGCACATTAACAGTGTGTATAAAATGTGACATGCGTAAGATAGACTGAAGCTTTGCAAAATTGTCTTTAAACAATGTACTAAAACTGTGCAAACAATGTGCAAAAAAATAATTTAATATAAGCGTGACAAGTGACAAATAAAAAGCGTGATGTCAATGTGCATAAAGAGTGAAAAAACTAAATTATTTCAAAAAGTGTGACATTACCACAAAATAGCGTCTATGCGCATTGTTATAAAGACTTGCACTCTAAATACACACTTATTGCACACTTTTCGTGCACGCTTTATTTTCACCAGGGTGGGATGAGCCAATCGATATACCAACATCATCAGCGACTTCTCTGATGGTTTATAACTATTTCTTCCACTTTTTCCATGTTTTTATCGGTTGTTAATGTGCTTGTGCGTTCGGAGCGTTCGTCATCTTCAACGTCTTCACGGCCATCTTGGAAACTTGTACTTGCACTTGTAAACTCTTGTTTTACTTATAGCAGACTCACTATAGGCCTTTGTTAACATTTCACAGAATTTATTTAATTTTTTAAGCAAAATTGGATACAAATTTTTTGATCCATTTCTTTTAACGAACGAAAATTCGCCGAGCTCATAAAACAGGTCTAACCTTAGCGGCTGCCACAGACAAAGTAAACAATGAAAACAGCTAAAGTTTTTATCATACTTCGGGGGCATGTATAGTGTACATTGTATACCAACATAATAAAGAAAATTTTATGACAACCTCGTACATATATATATATAAAGTATATAAAGTAGGTGTGTAAATTAAAAAAAATAATTTTCCACCTTTTTATGGAGGTGCATAATAATCTACAGTCGTAAACAACCCACACCACAATATAAATTAAACTAACTAGCATGCTGGGTGTTGATCTAGCTATATTTTTAGATTCAATTTTTAACCCCTAGCCTGTGTTTTAAGTTTTCATGTTTTTATTATTGCCTTTTTGTGCCTATTTTGGGTGCCTTTTTAAGCCTTTTTACAATTTGTTTGTGTCTAAAAGTCCGGTCTATACTGACGAGCAATGGTGAATAGTTAAAAGGCTTTTTTTAGCAATTTATGGAATATATTGACAATAATATATTAAAGGATAAACAAAAAATAATAATAATGGGTGATTTAAAAATAAACGTACTGGAACCATACACTCTTAAAAATGGGTAGGTCATGAGAAGTAATTTTTAGTGCTCATAACTTATAAATATATTTGGTCCCAACTGACAAATTATTTGGTCCCAACTGACAAATTAGTTCTAACCTGGGGATAATGCTTAGTTAGAGAAACTAAATAATACGTTTAGTGCACGTTAGTTGTGAAAGACAAAAAATCAGTTGCTACCATTTTTTGTTAGCTCTCGCTACTAAATTTTCTTTTCAAGCAACTAATGCAGTTCAAAAATTTTAATCAGTTTTTAGAACTAATTTGTCAGTTGGGACCATATAAGTTATGAGCACTAAAAATTAGTTCTCATGACCAACCCATTTTTAAGAGTGTAAAATAAATAAAAAACATTGTACCAGATTAAATAAAATTACTGGAAGACACTCAATAGTAGATCACATAATAACAAATACTGATCTTGAAAATAAGGAAATTATACTCCACCACCAAAAGTGATCATAAAAAATAGAATCGAACTTTAAAATAAGAGAAGAAAAGAAATTAAATAAATACTACACAAACAAGAAAACGAACTTAATAAAATTAAAAGATGAACTAAAAAGAGTAATTAATGTGAACAATATTACAACATTTAAAGACCTACAGGACATAATAACAAAAGAAACAAACAAACAAAAAGGTTGCAAAAAAGAAAAAATATGTACAATCGTTTCATGAAGGCTGGATGACCAAAGAAGTTTTCAGAAGCAAGAAAAAAAGAGACACAGCATACAAAAAAATGATAAAAACAAAGAAAGTCAACAGCTTAAACTAAACTATAAACACAAACAGATCATGTTTAAAAAATTAATGAAAAAAAAAAAGTTCTATGCAGAAAAAATCAATAAAACTGAAGGTAACAGCAAAAAAATATGGAACATTATAAATGCCATCCAAAAAAGAACAAATGAAAATAAAGAAATTTAAGACAAAGAAAAAACAGTAAAAAATAAAAAAGATATAGTGGAAATACTTAATAAATATTGCACAGAAATAGGAAAAAAATTAGCAAGCAAAGTAAATGGGCCAAAAATTGAAAACAAAGAAGCTCTTTTATATATACGACCAACAAACAACACTGACAAAAACTAAAGAAAATGCCCGGAATAAAATCATCACTTATAAAAAAAATAGCTGAAATCATAACGCCGACCTTAGTCAAACTCATCAATGACCATATAAAAAAGGGAAACTTTCCGGATGAATTAAAAATAGCCAGATTAACACCTATACACAAAGAAGGAAGTAGAAAGGATCCTAATAACTATAGATTTATCTCAAATCTGACAAAATTTTTGAAACCATAATCCACAACAGACTATCAGATCATGCTCAAAACATAAAATCACAACATGGATTTCAGTAAAAAAAAAAGCACAACCATGTGCTGTGCACAGCGATGTTAAATTTGTTACAATATATACACAGACAACTAGACGAGCCAAAAACTGGGCTAATAATGGACTATCGTAAAGCATTCGACACTGTAAACATTGACATACTCATAGAAAAACTTAAACATAATATAATATAATATATAATATAATATAATATAATATATTATATGTAGGAGTGGAAAATAAAGAGTTAATAGTATATTCTGTAACAAGTTTGGAATACGGCATATTCCGCTCGAGTGAAGAGTTTGTCACACGAGCCGAAGGCGAGTTTGACGGCTTTACGAGTGCGGAATATTCTAAACGAGTTTCAGACTATACTTTTTCTACGTTTCCAAAAAATACCATATATCTATAGAAAAATAATTTAATTGGAAGAAAGTGAGGTTGGATCGGTCTAAAATTTGTTAGATATTAAAAACAGAGATGTAGCCGAGTGTTTATTCTGTTATCCGATGATAGAATATTTCATTTTGTAACACTTTACGGAATATATGTCATTCCATAGATAAAAGTGATATTAGAACGGTCAAATTCCGTAATAGGGGTAGAAAAAACTATTTTCAAATTACTTAAAAGGCAGAAAACAATACACAACCAATTATGAAAGTACAAATCTAAAAGTACTTTGTGGAGTAGCACAAGGGTTCATACTGGGGCCTTTTCTTTACCTCACATATATAAACGACATAACCTTGCATAAATTAAATGGGAAACACATGATTTATGCTGATGACTTAGCAATGTTCTATGAGGGAGCCGATCAAGAAGTACAAAACAAAATAACAGAAGACATAAAAACAATCAAAAATGGACAAACGCAAATAAACTGACAATTAATGAAAAGAAATGCTACCTCATACATATAGAAAATAGAGTGAAAGAATACAACATCAACATTGAAATAAATGGAACTATATTAGATAAAGTGAAGGAAATCAAACCTAGGACTAATATTAGACAAAAGACTCACATGGACAGCCTACATTAATAAATTAAGAAAGAAAATTTCGTCACAAATAAACATGGCATAAAGAGTCAAATATTACATAACACTAAAACATAAAAAAATGCTATACGACCAAAGACCACCAAAACAAATGGACGGAGCATTGCCATTCAATAACAATGCTTTGTTTGCGGTCAAATTGGAGATAGAATTTTATGTTTTCTTCCAGTGACGTCAACAAACGGTCACAGTCTAAGCGTTAAATTGGCGATAGAATTTTATGTTTTCTTCCAGTGACGTATTGGGATAAAAAAAATAAGTAGGGAGGTACTTACAAACGATATTTCCATGTATTGTTATTTTTAGTAAAAAATAATGTATTTAAACTCCATAATTAACTTAAACACGATAGAAATACACAAACGAAAACACAAAACAACAAGCTGTCAACCCACAGAACATAACCTTTTTCTATGCTGTCAAATATGACGAATTTACCAACGTTGTTAATATTTAATTTTAATAATTATTAAATGATTTACTTTCTTTAAATAGAGAAAAATATCTAAAGAAAATAATGAACAAATTCTTTTTACAATTTTTTTATTATTCAAACGAATTATTGGTAATTATTAATGATCATTATGTTATGATGAACGTCCAAAAAGGCGTGTAATCTATACTTCTGACAACGTTGGAAGCCGTGTTTCTTTCGACGGTGTTTAGAATGTGAAACTATGCTTTACTCGCTTTTTAAACGTAAACAAATCCGTCCATTTGTTTTGGTGGTCTGTGTATACGACACATATGTGCAAAGAAATAAATAAATTAAAGAGAGCACAAAACAAAATCATGAAGGTCCTATATTATATTAAAAAAGATACAGCAGCAAAAGAAGTAGGTATATAAAAGAACAAAGCATTTATATTAATGAATTACAACAACTGGAAACATTAAAAATAATACATAAAATCAACAAAAAAGAAATCGTAGACAGTGACATAAAATTAACCAAACAAAAAAAAATACATAAATACAATACTAGAAGCAGAGATAAAAATTTTATTTTATTTAATAAGAATAGATAGAGCCAAAACGTAGTCATAGTTTATTTATATATGTACATTATATTTATTATCTGTAGTGGCCCATGGGGGCACATTAAGATGTATTTTTTCTATAGAAAAAATACATCTTAATGTGCCCCCATGGGCCACTACAGATAATAAATATAATGTACATATATAAATAAACTATGACTACGTTTTGGCTCTATCTATTCTTATTTAAATTAATAATTAAGATGTATTTTTTCTATAGAAAAAATACATCTTAATGTGCCCCCATGGGCCACTACAGATAATAAATATAATGTACATATATAAATAAACTATGACTACGTTTTGGCTCTATCTATTCTTATTTTATTTCTGCTTCTAACTAGTATTGTATTTATGTATTTTTTTTTGTTTGGTTAATTTTATGTAACTGTCTACGATTTCTTTTTTGTTGATTTTATGTATTATTTTTAATGTTTCCAGTTGTTGTAATTCATTAATATAAATGCTTTGTTCTTTTATATACCTACTTCTATTCTTCTTCTTCTTTTATTTATAAATAAAAAAAGGTGTATATAATATATACACCTTTTTTTATTTATAAATAAAAGAAGAAGAAGAATAGAAGTAGGTATATAAAAGAACAAAGCATTTATATTATATACATATATATATATATGGATTATTTATTTATATATACACACATACTTATATGTACATTATATTTATTATCTGTAGTGGCCCATGGGGGCACATTAAGATGTATTTTTTCTAAATAAAAAAAGGTGCTTTTTTAATGATTTCTTCGGAGCCTATTACTGACCCTCAGTTTTAAAGTTCCTCCACTAAATATATATTTTATTTTATTATTATAAAATGTATGAATCCAAGGTTTGTGGAGGTCCTTAATATGTGGAGATCCCGCCCCGGTTGCCCCGACGTAAATTTAAATAAACTAATATAAGTTTTTGTATAAGACATGAAACATATTAGTCAAACAATAAATTTTTTTAAGGTAATGTGTGTGCAATACTGGCCAGCCTCCCATGATTTGGAAGAAACTTACGGAGGAATAACAATTTCAATAATGCAGGAAGAGGAACTGGCAAATTTTCACATCCGTACATTTAGGCTCTACAAAAAAGACGTCAATGGCGTAAGTAATTAACTATAACATGTACAAAGCATGGTTAAGATTTGTAATATGTGGCAACACCGAATGTTAAAACTACCGATTTTTGTAAATATTGTTGAAAAACAAATCTCAACTCTTTGTTTATTAAACTTTTTAGCAAGTTTTGGAAGAAAGGTTCATTCTTCAGTTTCATTTTACAGAGTGGCATAGCCATTCTTGCCCCTTTACGAATGCTTTGCTTGAGTTTAGAAGACGAGTGAGGGCAGTGGTGGGCCATAGAATTAAAACTGATGAAGCTGGACCTATGGTGGTACATTGCAAGTAAGTTATTCACAAAGTGAGCTGTGAAATATTTGCAAATGATCTGTCAAGTGTCGAAACGCTAGTATTTCTGGTGGAATTAAGCTCGATTATAAGTATCTAAACCCCTGCCGAAAATGACCCATAGAAACCAATAAGAGAATGAAATGGTTTGTACCGGACTGAATATGTGTATTGGTAATGGTTTTTATTGGGTTCTATATGTCGCCAATTGGTTTTAGGGCTAAATGGGAAATACCCAATCAAACCAATTCAAGACAATTATGTTTTCCAATTGATACCAATTCACCAGATTCAAACCTATAAGACCCAATACATTACAACATAAATTCCCATTGGTTTCTATTGTTCTTAAAGGGGCATTTTCGGCGTACGCCATAGCTTTATCTCAAAATTTTGTTTTTACGGCAAATTTTTATCTAAAAATGATGATAAAAGAGAGTCAAATGTATTGTATGGTTTGGCAAATGAAAATGCATGTAAATAAATACAACCTACCATGAAATGACCATTACTAAAAACTCGATTTTGTCTGAAATGAACTATTTACTTACTACATTATTCAAACATAAACTTTTATAAAAGCCTTTACATAAAAAAAACTTCACCGCGTAAATAAATATTATCGTCTTTCCCTTTTAAGCGGTTCTTCCTAGATAAACACAATTTAAAGCAGTTTATCACCGTATAATTTTTCGCGAAACAGAATAACTGTTTTTTCCTTTTATGGTCCTTGGGAAATTTAAATTTATTCCTGGACCCAAACTTTTACATCGTCATTAAATTAGGAAAGTTGTTAAATAAATTCTCGTTACAGTGTACCTATGTATGCGAAACTTTTTGGCTTTATTGCAAAATGAAACGTAAAACAAAAAGGATTTAAATTTGACATTTTTCGTTCTTTTTAGTGATGGAGGGGGTAGATCAGGGGTGTACTTAGCAGTAGATGCAAATATGGAACTTCAAGAAGAAGAAGACAAATTTGATGTTTTTGGTTATTTGAAAAAATTAAGACTGGCTAGAAAGGGATTGGTTGAAAATATGGTATGTATTTTATTTATACTATTAATGATAATACAAAACATTTAACAAACAATATATTGTTACTTTTCCAAAGGTTTTTGATGCGCTAAATTTGAATTCGACCTCATAATTGCTCCAACCAAGATGAATTCTATTAAACAACGGTTAAATTTCTTGACGTCCAATGAAGAATTACTAAATTAGGGTTTTGGTGCATAACCGCTGCTTTCATAAACTTCCTCTTCCACCAGTGTGGTTCTTTCTGCAACATTTTTGCTTCTGACCATCTGGTATAGTGACCCTGTGATCAGGCGTGGTCTCCTACACCTGATTTATAGGTTTCTCCTCTTTGCGTGTTATTTCAATTCTTTTTGATTCTTGGCTTTTTGGTTTGTTGGTTGGTCTCTTGACCTTATTACAGTGTTCATGTTGTATTGTCGTCCTATTCTTCCTATTTGTTCCTAAATTTCTTTCACGTATGAAACCAACGCTCAGTTTGAGGTTCTATGTGGGTTCGACTGGAACAAGCTTTAATCAAACGCTGAGAGAATAGTACTTTAAAAGGCGAACAGTGGTTGAAAATCCCAAGAACGCGAAATCGAAAGTCAGTACCCTAGAATATTGTAAAGGGGTCAATAGTAGACAATATCATGATATGAAATCAAGTTACCGATCTTACACGAGTTTATACCCTTTGTAAAAGAAGCTGCAGCTGCTGTCAGAGCAGCTCTACTCTACACGGTCACTCTACAAAAACTGTAAGTGGATGTAATTTTTAACTAATTTTCAATCAAGACCCTATGTGTACGGAAACTGACGTCCACAGAATTTTATTATACAGGGTGTCTCAAAAGTCAAGGACAGCAGAAAAGGGGTGGATAGAGGATGGGATTAAGCCGTTTTTTGACCAGACGCACCATTAATAAATTATTAATAAAATAAAGTAGCCAATCAAAGGCGTGCTCTAGCAGAATGATTAGAGGTTGGACAACACAAACTTTTGTAGAAATTGTATGGCTATGAACGTACCATATTGTAAAATGACCTTAATTTTATTTTTTCACTGTCACTGTCAGTATTTTGGTTTTTTAGGTTCAGGGGAAATGTTCATTTATTTTGTGTGGGACAAATAGACCTACCTTTTCTTTGTTATTTTTTTTAACTCGCGACTTAATAAAGTTAATACAAGGTTGATGGTGATATACTTTACTTTTTTAAAATTAAAATAAGTATTTTATTTTTATTAATAATAATTAATTTTAATATTATTATTTAATTAGAGATATTTGAATGAATATGTAATAATCAAAATCCACCCATCTCGTTTCGCGCATGCCAAAAATTACTGCAACACTGCACAGAATTTAACAGCGGCCATTTTTATGTTGTTTACAATTCTTTTGCTTTGGGTTTGTGCTGTTTATACAGATTATATCGTTTTAAACGTTGTGTTTCTTACAGAGGCCTTTAAGTGCTAAGAACAACCATTTAGCCATTTAGGATCAGCCATTTTATTTTTTTTGAAAACTTAACCCGAGATTTGTAATCAGCGAACTCAGAAAACCTTAAATTTTATCGATGTCCAGGTTTTAGGAATTTCAACCACTGTGTGACGTTACGAGTTTTATGAAAAAAAATACCTTATGATGTTGTTATTTTACCTCAAATTAAGTGATTTCAGCGCATCCTCCATTTTTGTGAAAATATATTAAAGTTGTCAAAAATGGCGAATGCTCCAAGATTTTTCACATTATATTTTTCGATATTTTAGGAACAAGAAAAATAATTTATTTTTTTATTCAATTGTTTTTTTTAGAAAGAAACTAAACTAAAAGTTTTTCTTTTTTTTTTGATTTTCGTTAATATACTTTTACAGTTAATTGATTTTCACTGTTTTGCCACCATTTTTTCTCGTTCTTATTTGTTCCGTAGAAAAACAAACAACATAAATTTCATTTTTTTTTATTGATTTATTACTTTCAAAGATAAAATTGAATTATACAACTATCCACCCGTTTCTTTGTGAATGATATACAAATTGGATTGTACAAAAATGTACCTTCTTTTTTACCGACAAAAAAAGTAGGTGTGGTTCATTCCCTACCTCAAATAAATTGAATAAACTTGCAATTTTCTATACAATTTTCATTCAGGCAGAAAAAGCTTTATCCAATCAGACGATAAATTTACATCTGAAATGGTTTTCATAGAAGTTCAATGTATCTAAATGTAGGATTATTTAAATTTGAACAATCGTTGCTTTCATCTCACTGCTGTTTACGTTATTTTATTGCATATAAGAAGAAAATGACGATTAACACTTTTTTAAAAAAGTGGTATTTTTTCTAGGATCAATACAGATTTATCTACGATACACTAGAAGAATATGTAATATGTGGAAATTCGTGGTTCCCAGTAAGCGAATTATCACAAAGACTTAAAAATAAGTCCAGTAAAAACCCAACAAGCAAACTAAATGAATACCAAAAAGAGTACATGTTGGTTTGCAAACAAACCCCCAGATTTACCATTGGTGACTGCGCTGGGGGGCACAGGGGGGACAATAGGAAGAAAAACAGGGACGTACTTATAGTGCCACGTAAGTAATTTTTTAAATTAAAATTTATCCTTATTTAACAATCTCGCAAATTATTATTTGACGTATTTCTTTTTGTTGTACTTTTCCAGACATATTTCCAGACAAATAGAAAAAAAGTAGGTTTTGTTTCAAAAGAATAAACTGTTTTAATTTCAACACATTCTGTCGGGCTTCTTTTTAATTGTTTCTAGCGAAGCTAGAGTAAATTCATTTAATGTTAGACAATGAGATTTTTTGCTGCAAAAAAGAGATTTGTTGTTTCAGAATTAGCGGCTGTGTTTTGTAAATAATCTGGTGTAATTTATTTTGTATTTTAATTTAATTTTGAAAGGACTCGTCTGTAGTTTATAAAATATTTCTAGGTATATTTTAACATTGTTCGTTTTTGGGGGTTTTTATTTTTAACAATATTTTAACCTCTATTAAATTTTTTTTTCCTATTTTTTATTATGGATTTACAATTTTCTGATTTACTTATTTAATTGTCTTTAGATTTATACGAATTTTTATTTATGCGTTAACTTTACTATGCACAATTATATCAACACCTGAAGATTATCCAGCTCTGTCTTATTATTCAAGAAAAGGTTATCATAGAATTAATAGTCAGATAATTGTAGATTGCGATTACAAAATCCTAAATATGAATGCAAGATTTCCTGGATCTACACATGATTTTGCAATTTGGCAAGCATCAATGATAAGAACAATCATGGAAAACCAGTATATTCATTAATGTAATCGCAATCTACAATTATCTGCCTATTAATTCTATGATAACCTTTCCCTTCGTTTCAATAACAATTTTATAAGGGCTAGAAATATTATTGAAAAATTGAATGTGCACACTTCTTAAATTTAGTTTTAGATGTTTACTAAAGTATAGAGTTTAAAATTATGATCCCATAAAAGCAGGAAAAATAATTTATAGCTGCGGTTTTTTACATAATATATCCACGCTACTATAAATATGTCCTTCCTGAGGAAGAATTATTGGATTTAGACAATGATTCAGAAGATAATGGTCAAAATTTGAATTGGCAAGTGCGACGTGAAGTTGTACACATAGATAATAAATCATCATGGTTGTACAGGAATATTTGAATAATGTATTATAAAAATAAAATGTAATAGAAGTTAACCAAACACTCTTTTTGTTTTTTTGTGGTACGTGCTGCCCGACTGATTTTAATAGTTTAGAGATAAAAACAGAGGAGATGAAAAATGATTACATATAACAAACACAACAATAAAGCAAACACAAATAATAACAGAAAATGCGCTCAATCTGAGAAAACGTTGATAGTTGAACTACAAATAGATGCAATCACTTTAAACGCGAAGTTGCCAAATGTTTGGCTTTAAGTTTTAAAATAAGTGCTTACAGAATAGCAGTTTCCATTATTTATTTTAGCCGGCCTTTAAAATTAAATTTTTTAAAGGCCTATAAAATTTAAAGGAAACGTTACAGAATAGACCCAATGTGTATTTAAAAGGTCACTTAGTGTCATGGAAACATGTACGATAATGGGCGTTTTAAAGGTCGGAGTATAAAAATACATTATAATTTTTATTCTTTATTAAATAAAAAAACGTAATTTCATAAATACAAAAATAATAATAAACTTCGCAGTTTTCGACAATCGCTGTTATTTTTAATGTTAACAGTTGCTAACTGCTATTTTTGAGTATTTTTATTATTGCTTTGCTCGTGCAGCAAACTTGACACTTTTCAGAAATCGCCGCCTTTAGCCACTCGATGTCATAAAAATAAGGTTGTCATGGTAACCAAAAGACAACAACCGCACGTCTTGATATTGTATTTTTTTAATTTTATTAAATTAATAATGTTTTTCTACTCCTATCTTTGAAACGCCCATTATCGTAAATGTTTCCATGACACTAAGTGATCTTTTAAATGCACATTGACAAGTTGTGGCTATATAGCGTTTTAGTCACGGCTGAAGTTAGCAACAGGTTGTTAGTCACGGGCTGAAGTTAGTTTTAAGTTAGTTGTAAAATATATAATGTGGACATTATTTTGTTATCTCCATACAAAAATAAAAAGCACCAATAGCAGCTATTTATAATATTTATATTCAAATAGCTGCTATTTGAAAAGTTTATATGCAATTTTGCCGCCAGTAAACTAGATTTAACTGAAAGCATTAAAAATTTTTGGTGGAGACTCTACCGTAAAGTACCAATAAAACATCCTCTTCACTTTTACTGTAAAAAACTGCTTCTATATCATTATTTAAACGGTTGTAAGTCCATTTTAAAGGGATAAATTTTGATTTACACATACAAATTTGACATTTTGACTGGCGTGCCGGTATATATCATTTTTCGATGATAATAAGTTTGTAAGTCGTAGAAAAGTAAAGTATGCAACTAGTTTATAAACTCGTCTAGACACTCATTTAATTAAGCACTCGCTCGCGCGGTTCTAAATTAAATTCGTAACTAAAATGGCGTTTGTCAAACTTGATACATAATATACTATTTTATTATTTTTTATAAAAAAATTGTTTATTTAACAATATTTATATCAAAACTAGCTGTCAACCTGCGGGCTCCGCATTATTGTTTTGTGTTATGTAAACCTGAAAAAGACCAAACACATAAAATAAGGTTTTTACGGTAAAATTTAAAAATCCATTTCACTTAAAAGACATTAGGTATATATACTTAATAAAATAAAATAGCAGTAGTTACTCAAATGCTTCTTTATAAACGTATGTGCGTATTTTTTTCATTCAAAACGAGGTTTATATCATAAATGAAAAAAAATTGTTTAAAATTTCCAGGACTTTTTGGACAAAATAATGTATGCCGCCACTGCTGCTCCCGCCGCCCCCGCCGCCTTTAAAACAAAAATCGCCTTCCATAAAAAAATAAAGAAACAAAACAAAAAAATCAAATAATAATAATATATGTAAATACTGTTTCCAAAATTGAATTTTTTTTTTAAGCAAAATAGGATATTTCCTAAATCTTGACATTTTTATTTTTTTCAGCTGACAATTTTCGACCTTACTTAACATCATTCCAGGGAAACAGCTACACAGACTACATTAACGCTGTTTTCGTTGACGTAAGTAATACCAAAATAAAATTTAATTATTCCTATAAAAAATCTCATCAATAAACCACACCGTATGTATATAGAAAAGTCCTTGGTTTATGCTGTTTATACCATAAAATACTAAATATAGTTTATTACAATAGGTACATCAAAACAGTTTTCAATCAAAAAGATATTAAATTCACAAATAACATTTTGCTCATTCAGCTCTTGTTTTTGCGATATTGCAAAAGTTTTTACGAAGTAAAACGTGGCAAAATAACAAGTCATCGTAATTTTTAAAATATACTTTTTTACATATAAACTATAAATTAAAGGATTCAAATAATAGTTATTATGAATTAATTGTTAAAACAAAGAATTATTTTAATGAGTAATAATTCGTGATATTACTATTACCTAGTATATATAGTATAGGATATTATATATAGGATATTACTATTACCTAGTATATGGGGCAGTCCACGCCAAATCGGCCAAGAGTAAGACTTCATGTTTCCGATTTGCTTCAAATTTTCATTGTTGATAGAGGAAATCTAAAATTTCAACCTCTTTTATACATTTTTGTAGGTTTTACAAAATAAACAAACAAAAATGACATTTCTCTTATTTTTCGATTATTTAAAAACTTTCGAAAAAAATTATATATCTAACCATATTTTTTGACACTCTTTAAGATAAAATAAAAATAAAAATATTTTGTTCAAAAATTCTCAAAAAAAAAATCTATTTTTTTTATTAAAATTTAAATTTTGGGGGGACTTAAAAACTGTAGAAGTTTTTGTAAAGAAATGCATTTGAAATTTTTCCGTTGAAATAACACAGATTTCACGTTTTTTACAGCTAAACTTTTGGGGATAGAACAAAAATTTAAATGGCAATTTTGTAGTCCGCTTAACGACAAAAAATGTTTTAAATTTTTTTATTATTAATATTTAAGAAGTTACAGATCCGCAAAGTCAATTTTTTTCAATTTTGGACTTTTATCAAGTGAACTATTGATGATTGCACAAAAAATTTAATAAAAAGTTTCAATAGGTAGTTAAAAGTTCACCTAAAACTCTTAAAAAATTATAATATTAAGACTTGATAGGCCTATTGATGATACAAAAATTCTCGCCCTTAAAATTTTGTAGCAAATGTTGAACATTTTTATTACATTTTTTGTGCCATAGTTCACTTGATAAACTGAAAAAATAAGACTTTGCAGGTCTGTAACTTCTTAAATATTAATAATAAAAAAAATGTCAATATATTTTTTTGGTCGTCAAGCGGTCTACAAATTTGTTCTATCTCCAAAAGTTTAGCTTGAAAATGTAAAATAAGTGAAATATTCAAAAATTGAAATTTAAAAGCACTGCAGAAAGTCAAATATTATTGATAGAAATTTCACGCAATAATTTAATGCCAAATAAAGTTAATTTATTTATAATATAAACAAAATTTTTTTTATAGCTTGCGGAATTAAATAATGTAAAAAATACTCTTTTCTGTGTTATTTCAACGGGAAAATTTTAAATTCGATGAGGGAAGTAAATTTTGACAATTTCTATTTTGTTTCATTAAAAATGGGAGAAAAAGTGTTTGTGTAACAGTGCTTTTTGTTAAAAACATACTTTCAGACGAAGTAAAATCATGATCATTTTTGGATTCTACGTTCAGCAAAATAGATTAGAATTTTGTTTAAATCCTCAAATAAAATTGTTTTTCCTATTGCGAGCTGTATAAGTTTTATTTTGTCGACAGGGTTACACCAAACCTAGAGAATACATTGTGACCGAATGGCCTTTAAAAAACACGTGCGGCGAATTCTGGTCGCTAGTTTACGATTACGAGTGCTCCGCTGTGGTCATTCTTTGTGTGCCACCAAATAACTCGGTAAGTATACATTTATTTCTGTTAGAGGAGGTACTCATCTTTTATTCGATTAAAGTGCGAAAAAAAATCAAATAAAAGTAAAAATTGTTTAGAAGGTAATAGTGTTAATGTAGGTAGGTTTTAAAATAACTTTATGTGCGAATGTGTGTAAACATCTTGGCTGAAATTTAAAAATATTGTGAAATTTAAAAATGCTTGAAATTTTACAATTTTAGCCCAACTTACCATTTTCTACTCTTCAAACCCTTTCATTTAATACCCATATCAATGAGGCTGCAATACTGAATTGATTTACTTCTATCTCTGTCTTACTTATGCACAGTCACTATTTTTTTACGCCACGAACGCACATGCGAAAATGATTACGTCACGTTCACGCGTCCCCACTCACTATCGATGTTCGCACGCACACACTGTCATATCTACATGACTTAAGCATGCGCTCAATTTCCCAGAAAGCTCGTACCGCAGATCCACAGCATAGATGTTTACACATTTATAAGATAAACTGAAAATTATTTTTTGAAGAAATGTACCAATTAGATCCCTCTAAAACAAAAATTTTAAATTTTTAAAATAAAATAACATTAAATGGATTTTAATCAACTGATTTTTTTTCGATCCCAACACTTCTGTCTTTTCTATTTCATTTGATTTTATTCGATTTTATCTTGTGGGGTTACTTGAAAGTAAAGTCTAAATTATTTGCCCACAGACGTTAAAAGACTTAAAGGGAAATATTAATTAAGAAATTGCCCAAATCGCAATGCAATGCTACACGTTTAAAAAAAACTTGGTCATTATCTTAAGGTCATCTTAACTCGATGTTATTTTTCGAACATAATTTTAGTTTTAGTATATATTAAAACATGTAAATTTACTACATGGTATATTCTGTAACAAGTTTGGAATATGCAAATCCAAATGTGTTTCAGATTTATACTTTTTCTACGTTTCCAAAAAATACCATAGAAAAATAAATTAATTGGGAGAAATTGAGGTCTAAAAGTTGTTTAATAATAAACACAGATATGTCGGTACCAGTGTTTATTTCGTCATCCGGTGATAGAATAATTCATTCTGTAACACTTTAAGAAGGAATATATGTAGTTCCACATTAAAAAAGTATATTGTTCAACGATTAAGAAAGTTGGCCGTTTCCATGATGATAAAAGACTGTAATTCATCAGAATGGAAATTGCCATTTCACAAGAGTTGAACGCTATACTTTTTCTAATGTTATTAAAGATTTAGTGTAATTTTGTGCAATTACCACAAATACAGATTCGATGTCAGTGTCAGTTAATATTTTAGAAAACAATCAACCACCGTATAATCGTCACAGTAATGATAAATATTACCGTTGATAAAAGTAAAATCTCGTTGTCCCATTGGGCAGTAACCTGTGAGTAAAGAAATTATTTTTTCTACAGGTTAAGCCACTTTCTCAACTGAAAACGTACCATAAATCAATTTAATCAAGGAAAAAACTATTTTGGAATAGATCGATTTAATTTTTTTTCTACTCCCACCTTCAAAACGCCCTTTATCGTACATGTTTCCATGACACTAAGTACTGACCTTTTAATTTCGCCGGCAGTAAACTATAACTTAAATTCGGACACGGGCTCCACTGTAAAGTGCTCATAAAACATTTTCTTTACTTTCACTGTGAAAAACTGTCAATTTTCAAGAAATACATTTCGATTTATAACCTTTATAATCTGTTTTTAAAAATTTGACATTTGACGGTGACAAACAGATTCCCCTATTGTTGCATAGATGGCGCTCTATACAAATTTTTGATTTAAGTCATTTTAAGAGAATAATATGTATTTGTCGTAAAAAAAGTATAGTATGCACCTCGTTTATAAACTTTTCTATACACTCATTAATTTAAGAATTCGCTCGCAAGCTCGCTCGTGCCTAAATTAAATTCGTGTATAAAATGGCGTTTATCAAACTTGATACATAATATACTATTATAAACGTCTTGGGTTAAATGCACAAACTTAATTTCATAAATGAAATATTATTATTATTATTAAAATACAAGTATGGATATATTTATTTTGAATTGAAAATAACAAAAGGATAACATTTTTGTATCTTAATTCATGTAAAATCTTGTAAATTGGTTTAAAATTATAGCAAATTTTGCAAAAACAATTTTTTTATTATTTTCTTAAAGAAAATCGACTTTTATTAAACTCTAAAAAGAAAAACAAAGTATACTTTACAGTAAAAGCATCCTTGATTTTATTCAATATTACAACCACTAACTCATTAAGCTTACGAAAGCTTATATTGAGATTCAGATAAAGCGACGGTTCTGGCCTTGCAATATTAGAGTGCCAGTGTTCACCTATAATGGGAGAGCCATATACAAAGTGTCGTTAAACTATACTTTCATTTTTATTGATAGATATCAGATAGATAACAGTCAATGCACGTGTGCTTAGTGCTTAGTAAGCACAATGTTAGTGGTTGGGAGATGGGGGGTTGGGTTATAAATTACATCCATCCTTGCTATTAATATGTATTTGCTTTTACAATAGCGAACATTTTAATTTTTATTAATTTAATTTGTTGGATTTGATTTTATTTGGTGGATGATAAGGGTGGGTAAAGTATATATTTAATTTTATTGTTTAATAAACTTGTAATTAATAGTATAAATATATACGAGATATAATGCGTCTCGAGTCGCCAGACGAAAGACTTAAATCATCCGAGTGAATAATGCGCATAATCTCGAGTGTAATACTATACTTTATCTACTCCAATAAGTAGATAATTAAACGAATTTCAAAAATAATTAAATAAAATCTGTTAAATGGTTAACCTCACTTTTTACCAATTATAAATGTTATTAAAGTCGCCTTCTTCCACTTTAAAACCCGATTGGTTTAAATCACAGTGAATATTGAAATCGGCCAATCACTGTTGCTTGACAACGTGAATAATGAGTTCATTATTCTCGTTGTTAGGCAGGAAATTTATAATGTTTATCATTATTCACGAAACCACCCAATATTATGCAATAGGAGTAAATAAAATATTGTTTTGACAATTCATATGGTTTTAATTTCAATAAATTTAACAATACAAAACAATACATAAGGAGAACCGATTTATAGATAAAAAATCAAAGCATAAGTCACTACTAAGAACCAGAAATATAATAGAAAGAATATTTGGAATTCGGAAAAAAAGGTTTCCAGTGTTGGCATATGGCTTAAGATTAAAACTAGATTCAGTTTTGTCCATTATTCCGGTTGCAGCCGTACTTCATGATATTGCTAGAGACACGAATAAACCAGAGCCGCCATTGCCTGCTGATATTAATGCCATGAACTGGAGTACCCTGTTGTTACTCATCCACAAGATCGCATTATATTTCAAAATCAATTAATACAAGATTATTTTGCGAATTTATAAAATTTAATGTGAATAATATTTTTGATGTTTTATTTAATTTATACTTATTGTAAAATAAATACTTAGTCACTTCTTGTTTATTATTATAATATATTAAGTTTTTCTTTTTCTTCTAAAATTTTTAAATCCAAAAGAGTAGGTAATTTCTTTTTCATCCTTTTTATTGTTAATTTTCTGCTCTAATTGTTTTAGCCCTATCTGTCTCTTTGTTTTCAATGATACCCTTGTATCCATAAGATTAATTAAATGATTTTTTTTATTTTCTGAAAAATTTGAGGAGCGGGCCCTCTTTTTTTCATGTTCTGTATCCATATTATTCTCTCTTACCATCAACTGAATCGGTCGTACATGAAATAGAATCGAACCACAGATGATAAAGAATCGAACCACAGATTATAAAGAATCGAACTCTTAACGTCAAAATATATTTGCGTCACAAATAAGTGTGAAGTTAGTTATTAGCACCAATCTTTTCCATTTTTTAGCCAAATTCCCTAGATCACTAGTTAAATTTTAAACCATAGTGAAAAAATCACGGTGCAAGATTTTGAACACTAATACCTTTAAACTACAAATACATCCTTTATAATCTGTGATATCAATATACCTAAAAAAAATAGTTCATATGTCAAAAATGGCGAATGCGCCGGGATCACACTTTACACATTAGTATACTAAAAAACTCGAAAATCCCCTAACTCTTTCGCGTAAAATGGCACATATATGTCCCAACAAAATAAGGTCTTTATAAAGACCACTTTATTTTGAGAAAATACAAATTTGCTATTTTGGTTTAAAATAATACCAAAACCAATAACATAAAGACCAAGGTCCCAATATTACATTTTATTGGGACTTCTATAGCCCACTGGTACTAAAACTCAACAAATCTAGTATTGCGGACAAACAGAAAAAAAATAAAAAGTTGTTAATTTTATGGATTTTCAGGAGGGAAACGTGGTGCCATTTAAATATAATGCAATATTTTGAGAAAAGTAGTGTTTAATATTTTGCTGGGACAAATGTAACCCATTCGGCCTTTTAATGCATTTTTGTAGCGAATCTAACAATTTTTTACTGCTAAACATATATCAAAAGAAACCACACAGGAAACAGTATACAAAATAAATCGTTTAGTTCTCGCAATTTATCATTACGTTTATCTAGCGAATGCGAGACCATAATGTTAAGTAATCCAAGTAACATTACAATAGGAAATGCTGTGCTTGAACGTGGATCCATGCAGTTTAGTTTTCCGAGAACCGCCTGTTAGAGACATAATTCACTTTGCAGGCGGAAACATAGTTGCACACACATTACGTTACGTACTAGCGTATGTACGTTACGAGAAGTTTATCAAAAAAGGTTAATTTAACCTAAATGAAGTGCCGAGAGAATGTGCATGTAATATTGTAACAGGTTCAGAGTTTCTTTTACTATTGAATCATTCCAAATAAAAACACCAAATGGGGTGCGCTGCTTGATTTTTTATTTTGATAAAAAAAATTGAGGATGATCTTTTAGGTATCAAATATGAAAATCCGTTGCCGTTTTAATTTTTGGATTCTTTACTTTTAATCGGCACGCTTTAGAAATCTGAAATCGTGTCAATTTCTTACTCTCTTATAGTGGGCCAAAACTTTTTTCTTTGACAAATATTGAAATGATTTTAATTTTGTTTTACTGTTCAGTAAGTGTGTTTTCGATATAAATTATTATTATACAATTAGTTAATCTCATAAAAGAATGGTAAACCACTAAAGATTCATGATAATTTGCCAATTTTTGTCTGGCTCCTGTGCCTATTCTACTAAATCTCGAAAGTTATTTTTTTCAGGTATCAAGTACTTATACAATAGAAAACGTAACTATTATTTTAAGTTTCTAGACTATCATTTTCTTTATTAAAAAAAATATTGAAACTTGATAATTCTTAAAATTAGTCAATTTTGCCCTCAGAAATCATTATGTTGAGGAAAAAATAAAAATCTGAAACTTTCAGGAAATGTGGGGACTACCAAAGAAATACGCTTAAATAATATTTATGAAATATTTTTGACAGTTCTAACACTTCTCCACCAAACATGAAAGCCATCTAAATTTTAATTTATAAATAAAACTAACAATATCGCTACTAAACGGGCATTAAAAAAATAATATATCTTTTAAAGGAATAAAAATAACAAAACAAGACTAACTAGACTGAAAAGATGAAGGTGGGGACTACATTTCCTGAAAGTTTCAGATTTTTATTTTTTCCTCAACATAATGATTTCTGAGGGCAAAATTGGCTAATTTTGAAAATTATCAAGTTTCAATAATTTTTTTAATAAAGAAAATGATGGTCTAGAAACTTAAAATAATAGTTACGTTTTCTATTGTATAAGTACTTGATACCTGAAAAAAGCAACTTTCTACATTTAGCAGAATAGGCACAGGAGCCAGACAAAAATCACAAAAATTGGCAAATTATTACAAATCTTTAGTGGTTTACCATTCTTTTATAAGATGAACTAATTAGATAATAATAATTAATATTGAAAACATACTTACTAGGCAGTAAAATAAAATTACAATAATTTCAATAATTGCCACAGAAAAAAAGTTTTACCCTCTTATAAGAGAGTAAGGAAATGACACGATTTCAGGTTTCTAAAGGGTGCCGATTACAAATAAAGCAACTAAAAATTAAAACGGCAACGGTTTTTCATATATGATACCTAAAAGATCATCCTCAAATTTTTTCATTAAAATAAAAAATCATGCAGCGCAGTTTTAAATTCATTTTTGGTGTTTTCATTTGGATTGACTCTATTAATAAATGTTAGTATATTGGTGATTCTACAATAACTAAATGATTTTTTAGTTATATGGAAACTTATGTATCTTTTTTAGTTCGAAAATTAAACTTAAGTTTAATTTTAGAAATCATTATTTTAGTTTTCATACGTACCTCGCAACTGCACATTATACCTGTGTTTGATGGATACGAAGTTAAACCCCGGCTGGTAAATCTCCCTTAGGACCATGATCTCCTGTCGATGGTTAAGTCCCCTCCTGAAATTTTGTCGTCGGGCCGGGCTATACGCCCGATTAGGCTAGTGGAAATTAGGACAAGGAGGAAAAACATTTTGGTTTTCAGAGGACCCAAAACTAAGTACAATCCGGAATCCCCCTCAACTGGGATTTAGTAACACCCATATTCAATTGGGGTTCATGAATGGAGCTTGGTTGGTTAATACGCTGTAGGGGTCAATCTTGCTTCTTGAGGTACTTCTTGTTTGTCTGCGTCCGTGTCTTTGCTGAAAATTACTATGCTGAACATTCGGAAACCGATATATCCACTTTTTTTGCCCAACTGCGAAAACCGCATCTTGTTTTCAGTACCGAAGTATTTCCGTCCGGGTTGTCCGTAATGCCTTCGTACAAAATTCGAATGTTTATTCCAATTACTGAATTTAGAATTCAGCATGTTACCAGTCGTTATTTACTTACCGAAAATTGGAAAACCATGCATACCACTTATTTACCTCACTAACCTTTTGACTAGAGTTTTTACTTCTTTATGGAGGTGGCCACTTTTATTTATTCCCTTTTGTAGCCGAAAAGTGTTTATGGGGACGTGATTATTTATTGGTTTTGCCGTGTTTATTGGGAAAGGCTCTGAGTTTCTTGTTGTCTATCCTTAACTGTTATGACTGTTTATAGTGAGTTGTTTTTTTACGAGATTGTTATGCTTCCCTGGCGAAAATAAAATGTGTAAAAAGTGTGCAAAATTATTTGAGAACAATGTGCAATCTTTTAATAAATTGATGTGCGGAGGGTGGGAAATGGAACATGAAACAATGTGCAAAACCAAAAATTTAAAAGTGTGAATAATCACTGGACAATGTTCTAAAGGGAACTCCTTTTGATTTTTCACATTGTTTGCACACTGTTTCTTGCCACCTGTGTGCCTATTACAAAAACAGATTTTTTTTGGTGACCTATAATAGTTATTTACGTGTCAAGCTTTGTAAATGAATCTTTACGGGCGAGCTGGAAGTTTGTGGGGTGAGCGACGAAGGAGCGAACTCCATATTTCAGTGAGCCCAGTAAAGATTAATTGCAAAGCGTGACACGTACAAACTTTTATTTTGACCTTAATATAACGATTTTCAAATTTAAAATTTCAATTAATGTGCAAATGTGTAATTTCATTTCATAAATTGCTTTTCTACAAGCCTGTAAAACTTAACAGGTCTTTTATACAAGCCCGTAAAATATTACAGGTCTGTTCCCATAATGTATCGTTTACTTGGATACAAAAACAACAAAATTAACCTATAAAATGTCATTTACTAAGAAGGTGTTTTAAATTTACACATAATTGAAATATAAATATCCTTATAAAAATATTAATAAAATAAAAAAAATACCCACAATGTAGGTCCTACATACTGTATTTTATTAAGAAAAATACCTGCACTGCCAACTCCACGAAGGGGATTGCTTTGATCTTAGCAATAGGCCGAGAAGCGATACATAAGATGGAATCTACCTCACCTTTTAAATAAATGTTGTACCCCAACTCAAGCGAGATATATCTAAAATGTGCTTAAACTCGCTAAAACTGTACAAACAATGTGCTATAAAAAGGTGTAATATAAGCGTCATAAATGAGAAATATTAAAGCGTGCTAACAGTGTGTATAAAATGTGACATGCGTAAGATAGACTGAAGCTTTGCAAAATGTCTTTAAACAATGTTCTAACACTGTGCAAACAATGTGCTAAAATATAATGTAATATAAGCGTAACAAATGACAAATAAAAAGCGTGATGTCAATGTACATAAAGAGTGAAAAAACTTAATTATTTCAAAAAGTGTGAAATTACCACAAAGTAGCGTGTATGCACATTGTTATAAAGACTTGCACACTTTTCATGCACGCTTTATTTTCGCCAGGGTTTGGCCACGACACATAAACACCGGCATGTTTTTTTCTGCAATTTATGTTTTAATAACTATCAAGAAATAAGCCGCGCAAGGAAGTTTTACCACTTTTTGTAAAGTATTTGCTGCTTTTGTTGACCAGCAATAAACAAGTTTAGAATTTATATAATAATTACAAGGCATAGGCCACTCACGGGTGTTGGTTCTGTTTGTGGTGCTTTTTTGTTTAAAGCCTAAACATTAAGGAGAACGTCGATATTTATAAGTTAAGAATCGTTATCTTGCAGATTTTCGTTCGCACATGACGTCACATAACATGCGCAATAGCATACCATTGCTTGTTCATCGTGGCTTTGGCTATTCATGCTGTTTTTGGGAACTGCTATGGCGACTATTGCTTTATTTACCTAGTGGAGTTCTTAGCTTGTTGCGGTTGCGAAATTCGCGTTAGGATTAAGTATTTGGATATTATTCTTAATGTTAAGGTCATCCAATTAAGGGAATTTTATTTATCCGGTTTATGCAGACTTGGAATTCACGTGTAGAATATCATTGATTTGGTATAAATTTCGAACACCGCTGTCACTATTAGGAATTACGGACGACTTTAGACGAGAGCCTAGACCCACGACCTTTTACCTCGAGGTAAAGAGCGCAACTGAAAACTTTAGAAATCATTATTGTATCGATATTATATTAGCATACTTTTAGTTGTACCTTAACAAATCAAATCAAATTTATTTTCATTCTTGGAACCATGGAGTTATAGAACATGTCAAATTAGAAAATATAAATCTATCTACGTTAGGTACATAATAACAGTATAACAGCTAACGCAATAATAAATTAGGTAAAACTAAAATTAAATAACATAAAACTTGATCATCATAATTAATTAATAATAAACATATATTCCAGGCAAACTGCTTCCCCCAGATGGTGTCTCCCATTTAAAGTCATTGATGTTATAGTAGCATTTTTCAATAAGATATTGTTCAATATTTTTCCTAAATAAGTTTTTTTATATTTTTTACTTCTTTGGGAAGCATATTAGAAGTTTGGCCCCTCTAATAAAGGGTGATTTGCCATAAGTCAATTGAAGCCTACGGGATGGTATATGAATATTATTTTCAATTTTTGTGTGGTAATTATGAAGTAGGTTGTTGCTGCTATAGTCAGACTTATGCTTGTAAACATACGTGATGAGCTCCAATATTAATACACAGGGTAGTGTTAACATTTTATATGTTTGAAAAAGTTCGGTACATACAGAGGGGTTCCATTATAAGCTCATGCCATCTTTACATGTACTCTTATTAATGTTCATATTTTTATTTAATAAATTGGATAAGTATCCAAGAAATATTTATTAATTGAAATTTTACAAAACTTTACAGCAACAATTTCCATCATTTTGGCCCGAAGGCAGAACCCCGAAAAAGTACGGCCCTGTATTCACCATAGACCACATTTCTCACAACCACTATCCCAACATAAAAACATGGGTTTTCCGTATCAACAAAAAGGTAAAAATTCACCAAAAAAAAAACATACAAACTTACATATTTTTTTGGCATAGATCGTATCGTTGACAGAACTGATGGCAGGCGTGAAAGCCCCCCCAAAAACAGTTCAACTGTTTCAACTGACATGCTGGCCAATGGGACACAAGGTACCAACTTCTACCAACTCGTTGGTCGAGCTTATGAATATGGTCGAAAGATGGAGGCAAAGGACCGATTACGGACCTGTATGCGTCGTATCACCGTGAGTTTTGCTTAGAGTAGCAGATACATTATAAAGAGCATAAATCTCATTATTGTTACAATATATTGTACTGTGTATAAGGAATATTATTTTTAAGTGAAACTTAAAGATTTTTTAATTTTTAAGTGATGGTAGAAGCAGATGCGGAATTTACTGCGCAGCCAACGCCTGTATAGAACAGGTCATCCAACATGGAGAAGTTGACATTTTTCAAGCTGTCAGGACTGTACGCAGACACAGACCGCAGTTAATTGAAAACATCGTAAGCTATAAAAAATTATTTATTTAAAAAAATTCTTAATTTTTATTTTTTAGACGGAATACAAATATTGTTACGATGTGGTTCTACATTATGTTTTACATTATCTACAAAAGGACCTTTTAGAAATTAAGGTAAATATTAAAATTTCATAAAATAATTAATAAAAATATTTTAAATACTTTTTAGACACCCCACCCTAAGATTTAAGATGATATACAGGCAAAAGAAGTAACAATTTTTGAAGACTGTATAATATATAAAATATAATACCTAATAATAATGGCAGAAATTAGTGTTACTTCTAAAGAGGAAATAGAGCACTACTTACTCAAAAAATATGTCTTCACTTAAAAATGCAAAAAAATATTATATTATAAAATAATGTATTAAAAAGTTTTAATATCAAAAAGAAAAAAATGCCTTTTTTTATTTTTTTTAGTGAAGAAATCAAAATAAAAAATATTAAAAACGCTTTCTAATGTTAAATAAATTACTTACAACAGGGAACAATATACGTTTGTTAAAAAAGTTTCACCAAATAAAAATGTACCTTACATCTATTTTGCACCATTTGCTTGTATTTGCACTCGTACCTTCCATTTTGCCGTCCAGTGGAATATCTTATTTAAATAAAAATATTTAATAATTATTTATTTGTTATAAAAATATTTACAAATAAATGTTGAATGTTTTTTTGTTGCTTAATGGCAATATTTGTATTAGTATTAGCACATTTTTTTAATATTAAACGTTTAAAATTAAGGAAACATGTTTGATGTTGTGTTTATAAGAAAGGTTTTTATTTTAAGATGAAATGAAATGTGTGTAAGATAAGATCCATCTGGCAACCATGTTACAGTGTTGCTTACCCATCTAAAAAAGCATTATTAGTTCCTAATTTTAAATTGTTAATAAAATGCATGCCTTCCATAAAAAATCCTATAGTTTTAGAAGTTAGCAAAATTAAACACACATTAATAAGTATATTATATGTCTAAATGTATTTAGTGTTCTATTTATGGAGAATTACACGCCAAATCGACCACTTTTGAACCCGACCTCTTTTGATTTAGGTTAATCTTTTTCCATTTCACTAAAAATCTTTCTCACAATTTTTTCACCAAACCTACAAATTAAAAAAAACACCCGTAATTTTTTTAAAAAGTGATTAAATGGGACGTTTTTATTTAATTGGTTCTTAAATGTACTTCAGAAACAAGTACAATTTTTTATGTCAAATTCTATGAAATTTTTCGTTTTTTGAAAAAACCATCAATTTTACAAAGTTTGCAATTTTTTCAATGAAAAAGTAGAAAGAAAAGTCGGCCCACTTTAGGCAAAGCGGCATTAATCGCAGAATAAATTATTTTTTTAATAAAAAAAAAATTTTAAATGACGAACTTGAAAAACGAAGGTATTTCTAAAAAAACGTAAAATTTCAGAGAATTTGACAAGAAAAGGTTTGTATTTTTTAAGTACATTCAATGTTAAATTTTTTAAAAAAAGGTCTCATTAAGTCAGTTTTTAAAAAAAGTAATGGGTATTTCAATTTTTTTTAACTTTTTGGGGCTGGGTAAAGAAATTTGAAAAAATCTTGAAGTGGGAAAGAAAAATATAAAAAAATTCAGCCAAATCAAAAGGGGTCTGGGTCAAAAGTGGTTGATTTCTCGTGGAACGACCCTTATGTATACATTGGCAAAAAAACCGGTAACCTATTGAGGCCAAACAAAACTGTGAGCTAGTTATAAATAATATTTTTGTTATACCATTTAAATTATATTAGTTATCTATATTGTAAAAGAATGTATGTAATAAATAGAATAGTTAAAATTAATGTGTTTCTTTACTTACCTATGTTAAAATAACATAAAATACAGGTTTACTTACCTCTATACTTTTCTTTTTAGTGGGACATTTCCAATGTATGTTGTGATACATTTTTTGAAAGGTATTCAATTTTCTTTAAATTGGCGCTTCGTATTTTAAATTTGTGCTGCGGGTTGCCGAGAAATTTAATTTAATTTTATTGATTAGTACTTACATATTTTCTTATTAACGCCGTTCACCTCCATACAATAGTACAGTAACTGTTTAAAGTTTTCCCGGACATTGTGGAGAATATCGGGTGTTATTTGTTGTCATTCATTAGTGATGCGGTTCCGTAAATCTAGGTGGCATACATTTTGGATTTCAGATGTCCCCACTAAAAAAAATCAAGGGAAGATAAATCCAGTGATCTCGCTGTCCATTCGATAGCACCCGTTCTTCCAATTCATCTACAGGGAAACGTTTCATCCAGAAACTGCCGTAAATGTAATGCATAATTTCGATCAGCGCTGGGTTGACAGCATTCTCCATCAAGTTTAAGTAAGTCCATTCAACTTTCCGGGTAAGAAAAATGGTACAATTATCACCAAAAATACCCGCCCAAACGTTTAATTTTTTAGTATGATCCTCAATGAAGATCCGTGGATTCGTGTCGGACCAATAACGACAATTATGACGATTGATTATGCCATTGAAAAAAAATTAACATTCGTCTGAGAAGCAAACATTAAAAAGGTAGTTGGGACTACCTAATATTCATAATTATTTCGGACATTATTTTACAAAATTGTAAACTGCAGTCATTATCATCTTCATGATATTTTTGAAGAATTTGAAATTTATATGTGTGCCATTTAATATGCTTTAGAATTCTCTGTACGGTGGACCGCGAAACTCCTATAACATCACAGTTTTCTGGTCCAAAGTAATTTTACCCAGAACCCCTACTGCCCCATTTCTCACCGGTTTTTCAATATCTCGTTTTTTATTTGCCACTGAACCAGTTTGCTGGAATTTTGCTACTAATTCTAGGATGTAAGTTGCCTATGTAAATATAAAAACAACTGTTTTGAAAGTTTCACGTAATTTATTAAATGTTGACAATTGTTTCGCTACACAGTAGCTTCTTTAGAATGTATATAAATTACGTGAAACTTTCAAAACATAGTTGTTTTTATATTTACACAGTTAATATGGAGTTTCATCAAGTAAAGGTCGAAACAATTAATAATTAAGTTGCCGTTACTCTTGCACATTGATTGTTTATAAAATTCAATTCAATAATTTCCACTCTCTCTGCAATAGAATAAACCATTTTTATCAAATCTAAAGAAAATAAAAGCACAAAAATAATGAACTATCCACATTAACTACTTTACTAAGGATAATGTAAATTTGTCGACTGATATTTACGAATTTGTAAATATGCGGTCCAGTGAAATGTTCAAAATTCCATTGTTCGGCTCAAATTTAAAAAACCAAACGCCATTTTAAAGAAAAATTAATGCCCTTTCAAAAGATGTATCACAACATACCCCTTCCCATTTGAAAAACTGAGGGTGAATGAAGTGATGAAATTAATGTGTAAATATGTCCCTCTGAAGACAAAAGAATACGGCTCCGAAGATTTTTTTTCATTTTCATGGACTCTTTTTGATGGGCCAGCCTGTACACAAAGTGTTTTTTAAGGTCAATATCCTACCACATATTTCTTAAAAAAGATTTTAAAATTGCAACTTTATACCAAATTGACTTATCTTAGATCAATGTTAGAAAATTGAAGGGGGTAAATAAAAGTATTATTTAAATCAAATATTTCTTTAATGACCTAACAAATTTACAAGAACAAGTTAACCTCTTAACACCATTATTTAACAGCTACTTTGTAACAGACAAAAAAATAATATTTAAAACTATACTTGGAACTATAATACATTTATGGAATAGTCATTTAAAAATGAGCATAATTAAGCAATTGTGTAGGTAGGTATATATTTTTGTTTAAACAATTTTTATTTTATATACATGTTATTTACAATGAACTCAAAATACTGTCTCAAATAAAATTGTTTGGGGAAGAATAAAATTAATTAATTAATTTAAATTATGGCTTAAAAGTGGAACTCTACAATTAATATTGTCAAATTGTTGGTGTGACAAGCATTGTAATATTGCACCGATTTTTACATGTTAAAATGTAAAAATACGCATTTATTAATATTTACATATATTCAAAAAATATATCAACAGCCCTAATTATTTTGAATAATGTGTGCTTATTTTGACATTAACGTACGTAAGAAATACTATTTTTGGATTGGATAAATAATTTTTGCAGCACATTTGTATTTCCGTAGTTTTTATAAAACTATCATCTACAACTTAAGGGAGTATTAGTTTGAGGTGTTTAATGGAATTATACTTTTGAGTCGATCATGTCGACGTTTATTTTGTAGTAAACATAAGGGTAATACTCCGATTGACCAAAGCCTAAGCCGGGAATGTCAACACTCTGAAAATAAAGATTAAAATTACCATTTTTTGGTATTTTGCTATTTAAAAAATGGAAATAGTAAAATAACCAAAAAAATATTTAATATAAATTCTATAATTACCATTATTGAAATTAAGAAAAAACTGCATCCAAAATTTTAAGGAGTAATTCTACAGAGCAAAATACGAAATAAGATTCTAAGAAGTATCTTTTTTATTAAATCTCAGGCCAATTTGTTTCTATTTCATTGAGGTACATTTTGTCAATATCAATTTCAGAAATATAGAAGCGATTTATGTTTAAAATTTGGCACCTAATTATGTCAGTGAACACATGAGGGAAAATACGATTTAAATAAGAATGAAGAAATTGTAGGAAAGTTTAATTATTTTTATTTATAATTATTATTAAATTAATAATAGAGAAGGATGAGCACTTATGCTTATAAATGTTCTAAAACCGCTCGAGCGATTTAAAAAGTGCTCTATATTTGCATTTTCCTCAATAACTCAAATGCGGGATTATAACATAAGTTATTACATAACCCACAAATTAGTTAATTTTCTTTTTTAAAGCGTTAAAAAATGCTCGAGAATTTATGAATATTTTTGAGCATTTATGGACACTTTCAAAAGTCCTCCAGCATCTGCCATCTCTAATTAATAATAACTGCGTACAACTGTAATGTTCCAGTAAAATATTGAGCCCAGGGCCGGGCCTAAGGGGGTGTAGGGGGGGAGTCACCCCCCCCCAAAGTCTTGGCAGTTGGTTCCAAATCCAAACACGGTTGGCAAAATCTATAGTATTTGGGTCGGTTGGTTGGGTATACCTACCCTACCAACCAACCCATCACAATAAATAAAATGAAATATAATTTTTAAACTTTACCTACATACACTCACGTGCAAAATAATCGGCCCACACAAATTTTCGATGAATTTCAATCGCAAATAACTTTTTTATTTGATGTCGGATTTAAACGAATATTAAAGAATATTGTAGATAAATTAATGGACAATCGCTCACATTTTAAAAAAATACTAAAAAATAGACGTACGTTTATAATATACAGGTTTAAACAAAAAGATGTTTTTTTACCATAAGTTTAAGACACTCTGTAGAGTGGCAAAACCGTATATTTTTCTAAATTAAGTTTTATTTATCAAGTCACATCTATTCTTAACAGTTTTGTTTTTGGTTCACCTCGATATATTTATTTTTGTGGAAAATATGGATTTTTTTAAAAAACATTGCAACTTCCAATATTTTTCTGTATGAAGAACTAAGGTTGCTATGGTCCATCCATAGGCCATGGTGAATGACAGTGACAGTTTTGTTGAATCATCCCATACTTGGACATGTCATACACGGCTTTTAAAAGCTATCAAATTGTTTTTTGCAAATTAATGTTTAAATTTTGAGGTGTCTTCTTACTTTATAAAATGGATATGTCTCCGACTGATGTTGCCAGAGCTATTAATTTAATCCAGGATGGACGGTCACAGTATTACGTGGCAAGTGTTTTAAACGTCATAAGAAGTAAAGTACAAAGGGCAATATCAGTCGGAGTCATTTTTAAAAGTAAGAAGACACCTCAAAATTAACACATTAATTTACAAAAAACAGTTTGATAGCTTTTGAAAGCTGTATATGACATGTCCAAGTATGGGATGATTCAACAAAACTGTCACTGTTATTCTCCATAGGCTATGGATGGACCATAGCAACCTTAGTTCTTCATACAGGAAAAATATTGGAAATTGCAATGTTTTTTAAAAAAATCCATATTTTCCACAAAAATAAATATATCGAGGTGAACCAAAAACAAAACTGTTAAGAATAGATGTGACTTGATAAATAAAACTTAATTTAGAACAATATACGGTTTTGCCACTCTACAGAGTGTCTTAAACTTATGGTAAAAAAACATCTTTTTGTTTAAACCTGTATATTATAAACGTACGTCTATTTTTTAGTATTTTTTTAAAATGTGAGCGATTGTCCATTAATTTATCTACAATATTCTTTAATATTCGTTTAAATCCGACATCAAATAAAAAAGTTATTTGCGATTGAAATTCATCGAAAATTTGTGTGGGCCGATTATTTTGCACGTGAGTGTATTACAAAATTATAATTTTTAATCTATTGTAACCTCCTATAATCGTTATCGTCAAGAAAATTGTATTGGTAAACCATATTTCACACAAGCGGCATGTACAAAGTCGGCTTTGTATTTGGTCTTTGGTTTTGGCGGCGTTTGACTCTTTTTACGCAACGCAATTTTCGGCGTCTTATTTTTCTAGATTATTATTTAGTTGAAGCTTATCTAAGCTAAGTAAAACTAGTGTCAATAAATGGGAATTCATTTTTTTTTATATGGAAAAGAAAGCTAGACCGGGGCGAGTTCTAGTAAAATGCTCATTATGTGGAACTGTGTGTAACAAGGACTAGAAAAAAATGCATGAGAAAAATAATCACGGTGGAAATTTGGTTAAAATTAAAATTGTTGCTGTTCCGCATAATCCACTTACATTGGCAGCAAATCAAAAAAATAGAGAACGAGAATCAATCCCATCGACTTCAAAAGAGCATGCTAATGGTAGGTAAAGACATTCTTTATCTACACTTTACAGCACTTTACATACATGATAAAACTACTGAAAATTTTTACTATTACTACTAAAGTATCAATAAAAAATAAGTTGTTTTTTTATCATCTCCACCCCCCAAAAAAGTGTGCCTCGGTACGGCCCTTATTGAGCCACCTGAGAAAAAATAAAATGTAAATGTTGAGTGCCATCTTTAAATGGGCGTAACTCCTTTACAAAGCATTTTTGACCCCATGTGCTTAGAAACTATTTTCATATTTTGCGCTGTAGAATCATGGAATTATAGAAAAAATATCAATAGATCAAAGAAAACATACAAATCTTATACTTTTAATAAGACAGTAAAATATTATTTTCATATTTTAGGAAAGTTTGAAAAAATACTTTGATTAATTATATTTTGTAAAAAACTTTGTTTCCCTATAAAAATGATTTTTAGAACTAAGAAACTGATGATTTTTGGAATGACAAAACAAACTTTTGAAACTGAACTCTAGAAAATTGTAGATTTTCTTTAAATATAAATTTTGACTACAAAACTAAATTTTACAATATTAATATAATATAATATTTTAGAAAAATTAGCAACCTTAATCAAAAACACCACAAAAAATAAGTCAAATAAAATTTAAAACTAAACTTTAATAAAAACGCACATAGACATTTTAGCAAAACTAAAAAATATTAAATTAAAATTAAAACTTTTCAATAGTGAAATGAAAAAATATGAATACAAATCTGTGAGAATAACATAAAACAATAATAATAAAAAAAATATATTTTTTTTAAATCTACTCAAATCTAAAAATAAAAAAGTAATATTCTTTAAGAACAGTAATATTAAGTAAAAAAAAATGGAAAAAAATATGACATTTCAATTGCATGAAAATACATGATATTTACAGAGTGAGAACCTTTATGTTACACCCTGTTTAATAAACAAATCCTAGAAGGTAATTTTTGAAAAAAATTATAAAAAAACAGAAAAAACACAATATATCTTGTAAAATATCGACAAGAAACTGCAATGCTAATTTATTTAAATAAAAAAATTAATTCTAAAAATTGTACTCACATCTACGTTGACGCCTGAAAGCGCTGCACTACTGTCCAAATGACCGTAAAGCTGGTGGAGAACGTCCCTTAAACGCTTCATGGTCTTTTTATTTGGATGGATTAAAATTGCTTGGAAATTGACAGGTAAACCATATCTGAAAAAAACATAAGTAAAAAAACATTTTCAATAAAAATTACCCTATTCACCTTAAAACAGATTCAACAAACACTCTCAAGGCTTTCACGTGAATCCAGGCACAGAAACATTCGCTGAAGTTCACCTTCAGCCACCTCACCAAAGGACCCTAGAAAAAGTTATTTAGATGCATATTTTTGAAAAAGTTTTGTGAGACTCACAAATTGCTTCTTCTTATCAGTAACCAACTTGGTAATCTCGTTTTTACCGGCAGCCAATTCTTCCTCATTGTAAGTAAAGTCCCTAACAATGAACTTCTTTTCTCTGGAGTGAAGTTTGAACTCATCAACGACCTGCAGAACAAAATTTAGTACCTAATATCTTATTTTTATTATTTTGAAGTGCAAACATCAATGGCTCTGATGTACGAGCTTCCTACGCAAAGCGTAAGTCATATAGATCCTTACCTTTTTGAACAAAGATACCGTGTAGAGTCCATACTCAGCGTCCTGGATAATCAAATTGGTGGACCTGGGTACGATCATATCGGTGATCTTTTCGTATGTGGCGTTCCATTCATTAAAAGAGCTCCTTAAAAAAATTACAATCGATGCAAGATTTGTATGATTAGGATGGGGACTTACTTGGGAACAATCACCAAAAGGGTGGTGAGGTACTCCGAATCCAAAATAAAATGCTCCCTTTTCACCAAATCGGCCAAGTTGCGAGTCAACAAGCTGCCGCTGTGAAAAAAAGATTAAAGGTAGGTTGAAATTACAGTAAAAAAAAATCTTACGTTTGCTTCTTCTCCATGTTCTGAAGACTGCTCTTCAAGTTATTGTAGGCGGTAGACTTGGTCTTCAAGTCGGTGTCGATCTGGCCGACCTGTTTGCTGATGATGTCGGCGATGTTGCGAAGCGACTGCTTGATCGGGTACTTCGCGATGTCCCATTGGAATCGGGTCAGATAGCTTGGCAAGTCGGCTAGAAAAACGGGACGAAAACAAAACGGGACGGTTAGTGACATTCTGTTGCGACTGCGCCATTGCGGAAAAAGTGCGTTTTTTGCTTTAGTTTTTTAAAACATTGAACGACATTTCATTTTTTGTGTATACGGACCCTGAAAAGGCGGTAGATGACTTTTGCAATAATCTATGTTACCTATTAAATTCATCAAAAATATACATAACAATTTTTTTTTATTTTCACATATGTATGTAAGTACAGGGAAATTAATAAATTTAATTTAATTTAAATTGCAAAAAGTAAATTCATACGTTTTATATTTGCAATTTTTAATAAATGGTTTATTTTTAAATAATTAAGATATAAATATTATTTAATGTATTGAAACAATTATTATTTAGATCTGTAGTCAAAACAAATAATATTGTTTTAGTTAAATTTTCTATAATTTCTTAGATTTTTCTTTTTTATTCTCTATTCTAAATTTACGTACGCCATACTACGAGATTATTACAAAATAAACTATTATTGTTATTATTATTTATTTAAGATTAAATTGTAAACTTGTTTTAAATTATTTTATAAAAAATCTTTATTTAGGATTATTCACATAAGGTGGTGCACCATTTTCGGGATACAAAAGTTGTAATAAAACATATAATAAAAAAGAATTAATCAACAATATTAAATATTAAATTTTAATTGTAAAAAGTATAACAAATAATTAAAATTCCTGTAAAATCGTAATAAATTTTTTAAAAATAAGATATATTAACAAAATATTAACGAAAAATAATAAATATAAAAAAATGTCAATTATATTCAAAAACATGAAAAACATTTGTAAAAATAATCCTAAAAAACTAAATAAAATAAAAAAAACATAAATTGTTTTAAATTGGCCAAGAAAAATTTAAGTTTAAAAGAAACCATATCAAAATATTGGAAAATATAAAAACATATATAGAAATATTATTGGGCCACAGAAATAATTATACTTACTCACAAATCACCCTTTAAATACAAACATGAATAAAAAACAAGTTACAATAGAGTATACAAATTTAACCATTGCATTACCTGTTTGGGCCAAGTCAATGTATTGGACAAAAAAATAATCAAATTCTTGGATCATACCGTTCACCAACATTTTAACGCAAAAAATACTCATTTAATTTATGGATATATGCACAGGTATAGTATTTTGGTACATACGGCCATAAATTAAGAAAAACTACTGCGAAACAACTATGTAGCATTAAATAAAAGTAAAACAGACAACATTTTGGGCTTAAAGAACTGTCCATTTGTACTAAATCTAAAAACTATTTCCTAAAATCTAAAAAGACAACGTTTGTTTTTAAACAAAAAATTCTTAAAACCTACGTTTTTAATTTTCAAACCTGCTATTTTTGTTATAGTTTTGTTATTAGGTAAGCATTCCAAAACACAGTGTTATTTTGTTAGTAATGTAAATATGTTATGTAATTAGAAAATTTAGATGCAAAAGTCATTTACGCCCTTAAATAGTTTGCGAAAAGCAGACATGATTCTGTTAGTTAATTAATAATAAAAAATAAAAAAGTAACACACAACTACAGATGTAAGCGAAAAATAAAAAAAATTAAAGGAACCATAATGGAAGGACGAAGTGAAATTGTGTTTTAAGTGTAAAAATTTAACCAAGTAAAAACGATTTGTTGGTTTTTGGTTCACAGAAATAATGCAGCATTGCTTTAAAAAAAAATAAAAATAAAATAATAAAAATAATAATAAATTCTGCCTGGATCGTCCCAAACAGCTTACGCACACTATAGATTTTTTCTTTCTTCAAAAAATCATCCGCAGACTTTTTTTAAATCCTAAAGTGCCACTAAATGATAGTGAAAGGTGTAGTAAGGAAAAGCAGAAGTTTATAGAAAGTAAAAATAACATCTCCGCAATATTTCGTATAGCCACATATTTCAATTATTTATTGGTAACGGCAGTATAGAGATGTTATTTAAACTGTATATAACATTCCTCATCAAAAAACTGGATAAAATTATTGTGAAAAGTGCACAAAAAACACAAGTTTAATGTACTTTCATGTAAAACAAATAATGTATTTACATATTTTTTGTTTAAACAGTACTTGGACAATCAAAATGAGACAGCACACACGAGTGTTGTATTTATAACACTGGTCAACATAATTTAATTTAATTTACTTAAATATGATTTAAGGCTAAACAACCGTTTCCATAGCAACCAAGTGCAACTTGTTGACCAGTGCAATAGAAAAAATGACTTGGGACATCACAAGAGAATGTAGAAAAGATGTAGTAAAATAAAAAACTATACACTCGGTGATATCACCTTTGTTGCGTCCAAACACTTTTGAAGAGATTAGGGTCATTAAAGTTTTAGTAGCGACTGTAAATCAGAAAAAAATAAAATGTTAGAAAAATCAACAATCAACAGAAAAACTTGTTAATCTCAAATGCCCTCACTATAGCTGCTCCGACGATATCTTACGCGCAGTAGCTTCTACCTCTAATACCCTCACAAAAAGTAGGGTTGCCAATTCTTTTTTGGTGTTTTTCGTTACTTTAGTGTGGTTCCTGCTGGTTACGGTACGATCCGAGGGCTGATTTAGCGTGATAAGCACGTGTGCGTCAAGCTTTTCTTAACAACTTTTTTTATAGATACTGAATACTGATTTAACGACTTTTTTTGTTTTTTTTATGAACGGGTCGGTCGGCTCGCGAAAATTCCTTTTAACAAAATTAAACAAATCCCGATGGATATTAAGTACAGCATGTTAACAATTAATTAAAGCATGATTATATGCAATAATTCTTAACATCATGTTTTACAAGTATTTAAAGAATAATGTACAAAATTATAACAAACAATATTAAATAATTAAAAAATGGGGTAGTTAATTTTCTATAACGTACTTTTTATTTAATATTTGATAATATGTAATTTTAAGTAAACATTTTTTTAATGACAAGTAATTAAGCATTTAAGTTTTAAAACTTGGCAAGGCTGTGCCTTTGTTAATTAATTTATTTTTTTTATTTTTAAAACCCTTTTATAGAAATGTTTTTTTATATAAATAAATTATTAAATAGTACCAGTACAAATCGATGTTTATTTCAGTTAGGGGACTGTCTTAAGAATGTCAAGTTAGATTTAAGGACGTCGACATATGTATGGATTAGGGTAACTCTTTCTCAAACGGGACCGGGCTCAAATTTTGATACTAAAATAGGCCTCTATTCAACATGTTCAAATTCAATTTTAAAAAAATATTAAAGGAATTATTTAGGGGGGTCATTTTGTTCATTTTTTGTTGGAGTCTCAAAGGCTTTATCAAAATTAAAATAACAACTTCTACTAAATCGAGAGTAAAAATTGTCGCATTATAAAAAGCAATAAATACAGCCCCAGAAAAATATATTTGGAAAAATTTAAGTTACCAAAATATACTTAACACACACTTAAATAATTCAAAAGTTATTCAATATGCAGTGATGTCAAAAAAATGAAACTCCATGAAAAATGTTTTTTTTTATTAATTTCATAAACAATAGTAGAGCATACATTTTACTTTCAAGAGTCTAAGATAAAACTGGTGTGGCAAAATCTTAAAGAAATATTTTAATTAAATGCTTGAAAAAAATGGTATATAAAACACGGCGGCGAAATCTTAATAATTGCCTCGCACATAATCCATTGTCTTGACTCAACCATTTGATACACCATTTTTAGCTTATTTTTTTTCAAGCGAATAATAATTTTCATATTATAACACTCATAACTTATGAGTCATAAGTATATATAGAAAGACTTCATATACAAAAGTGTAAAAAACCCGGCGACGAAAGCTTATTAATTGCCTTGCACACAATCCACTGCTTCGGCAAGCGCCTTGGCAGTGCAATGTATGCTTGGCTTCAATATGAGATTTCTCCGCATGTAGTATTTTATTACTACTATTACGTTAATTAAATTGTTGATCTCATGAAACGTACCAAAATCTTGAGCATTATCTTTTCTTTACATATGTGCCGCAGAAAGGTACATAAGCTTTAAAAAAATTACTAATATCTAATTTTTACTGAAATTTTTTTTTTGTAAGATGCATTTTGCTAATAAAATTAATAAAAAAACAGTTTCATGGAGTTTTCTCTTTGCTAATCGAAAAGGGTTGTAAGAAGGTAAAAAACCCCATTCGTACCTCAAAAACTATCTTTTCGCCAATATTAAAAAAAGTATTTTTTTGTTTTGCTTATTCAAATTTGTTTGGGTTGTTTTGGATTTTTTCAAAATTGCGGCGAAGCGATAGGGTGCTATAAATGAGGGTTTGTACCTTCATACAACCCCTAATCGATTGGTAAATTTAAATTTGTAGATGCGATTTCTAGATTTACGGAACTATAAGGGATAACTGTGTATAGGAATATCTTAGGCTAGATTTAACCGTCATATAAATGTCGATTTTTTACTGTTTTAAACTATATTAAAACCATGAAAAGTATATGGGTATTCTATGCCAAATCGGACACTATTTTGCTTTTGAGTCTCTGATAACTTTTCTTTTCTTTTTCTCTTAGAACTGGACAAGCTTTTTGTTTAGTTTTCTATCAAGCCATTCAATGTATACATTTCTGTAAAATTAAGTTCCTTCTTTTAAATGGATGTATAATATACATACAGTGTGACCCATTTGTTTGCGACTCACCCCTATAAAATCTTTATTTATTGTGCGATTTTAACCGTATTTGTTTTAAAGTGTAGATCTTGGTAAACTGTATTTTTGGAGCAAAAGACGCCATATTATTACAAAATACAAGGCCTACTATGTCAGTTTTTAAGAGTAAATTTTTAAGAATTCATATTAGCGATTTTTTTAAACAAAATCTAGGCACGGCACTGGATTTACATTTACATTGTATATCGTTTCTTCAAATTTTTTAGTATTTTATTTGAGTAATAACATACAAATATTTTTACATTATTTTTTCTAC